GAATGTATTTCTGATTTTATAAGCTAAATTTCTCGACTGTACGAATACTTTTTGAGCATCCAAACAATGGAACTTTTAATTTTCGCTTATTTTCCAGATGATATATTTTCTATAATCAATACACATCTTTTTGATATATATAAATTTAAGAAATATACGGTCTATTTTATACTTTATGAATAAATTGTTAAGTACCCAGCAAAAAATGAATTATCAATTAAACGTCGAATCGACGTCAAATTGGTATTGAAATCATCGTATCGATATCGATTCGACATCAATTCGATGATTCATTTCTTGCTGGATAATATTTAATTTTTAAAAATAAAGTTTTTTTAAAAATTATTTTCTCTGTACGAATACTTTTTGTATTCACTGTATATTCTGTAACTGTTTTATACGCCTACCGACGGTTATTGGTGTCGTTGCGCAATTTTTTCACCATATAAAATATCTGCGCAACGACACCGACAACTGTCGATAGGCGTGTAATAAAGACAGTTACGGAATCGCGCCCCTGGATTAATTTTCATCACTTTTACAAGTATTTAAAAATTATTAAGCGATTTTTACATATATTTTCACATCTTTAGAAAGTATTTGTATAGTTGTATGTTTATAATAAATTGTATATAAATTGTTGTAATATATAGTTAACAAAATGAAAAAAATATTTCCATACAAAAATAAAAAATTTTGAAACAAAACTGTTTGAAGAAAAAATACGTTTCGATATCTTAAAGTTGACATTCCAAACTACAAAAGAAAAAATAGTTCAAGTGTCGGTTGTCCAAAAAATGTTATTATTTATTAACCAAAAGATAATGTTTTTTTAATATGCATGAATAGTTATAAATTGAAAATATATTGCATTTGCATATACATATGTATGTATCATGAGGAGCTATCAGAGTTTAGCTAGTTAACGTGTGTTAATTTAATTAATCATGTGATCATTCAAACAATATAAATAAATTCAAACATTTCAACCTTTAATAACGGTCCTCTTCAGTGAAACTATACAATTTAATTATACAATATAAATTAATATTTATACGATATAAATTAATATCATTGTAGGTCTTACATACTCCTCTTCTTAACTAATTTTAAATCGATTGATTATCCTTCATCCATGTTCTCCATACAAGTTACAGTTCTCATGTTATCTCTATGGCAGAATCATCGACCGGGAATCTTAGTTTGCAAATCATGTACGTCACAAACTATCCTTTATAATGATAGTATCATTGAATACTGTAAAAATTTGTTTAACCCCCGTTGAATTATATGCAACCACAAATTAATAACTTATCTCTCTCTCTCTCTCTCTCATTTTTTTCTTTCTCTCTCTAATACCTCAGTCGATTGATTCTCCAATTACAACAAAATATATGTAAAAATCGCATAATAATTTTTATATAAGTACTTATAAAAGTGATGAAAATTAATCCAGAACACGAATGATCTAACGTGTGTAATAAGGATGCCCAAAACTAAGGTGTGTACTAAGGGTTAATATTCACAAAACAAAGAGTGAAATATATGACAGTATACGCGGTAAATGTTTGAAGCATGTTCGTTACACAGACTGTGTTCCAAAATTGTTTGCCAGCACTGTCAATATCGTTCCAAAAATCATCGTAGTACGCTGTAGCAATGCTGCAAGAGAGTAAAGACGTCACTAATTTTGTCGTCATTTCTTGCTGCAGCTGCTGTGGCTGAAGAGGTGAGGCAGCTACAGCATACAAGATGACGAGTGTCGTTCCAATTTGAAATGAATATTCGCACCAATTGCATGCTTACTCAAATTGGAACGCTGTTGATAGCATGTTTTTATGACGACATACCTGCAGCACTAGCAATCAATTTTGGGACACAGCCAGAGTGCGTGAAATAAATAGCGACGTTAGTATTACTAGAGCACTAGAAACGTAGGTATTCGCATCCACCATTTTTACTCCTTTCCCCACTGTTTGTTCTCTCTTCAACCTTCTCTCTTCTCTCTTCAATCTTCTTAGTTTAGCGGCGGAATGGAGAGAGAGCAAGGAATTGAGAAAAGGAGCAAGCGAGTGAGAAAAGGAGTAAAAATGGCGGATGCGAATACTCACATTTATAGTGCCTTAAGCGTCGTCTACAATACACGGAGTAAGAAGTAAGAGTAAGAAATTGACCAATCACAGTCGAATGTGAGAAAAATAATCGACTGTGATTGGTCAATTTCTTACTCTTACTTCTTACTCCGTGTATTGTAGACGACGCCTTAGTATTACGCGGAATTCGGTGACGCAGCGCGTTGTCATAAAAAACGTTCGCGGCGATGCGGTGATCTTGTTATCATTCGCGAGGTGAGGGTCGAGCAGGCAGGACGCAACGGCTCGGCTCGCTTGGCGTATCGTCGTATCATTTATCCCTCGAGCCGCGAGAGGTATACTGAGAAAAATTGGAGATGATTCTTCAATTTGTACGATTAGATTACCCTACGATAAACGATTCGCGAGTTTATCATAAGAGACGAGCGTTCGGCAAGCTGAATATTTCGCGTGATTTATTCACTTGAAACGGAAAAATAAGATTACGAATTGTCTTTGTAGTATTTCTCTTTTTAAGGTGCTCCTTGCATTCGAGTAACTCTTATATCGCGCTTCAATTGTTTTTTTAGTTTCTTTCATAATTAAATTTACATATTAACGTATTGAAAATTAATATTTTCGGTTAATTTGTGGAGTTCTTGGGTTTATTTCGAGATGTACTGACAGTGTACTTAGTCAATACTGTCGCAATTAACGTGTTTTGACCGTTAACTCGTTAATGTAAATTCAGCGTTAACATTTCGGCAATGTCTTGAAACACTTGTCTGACGAGATTGTTCGAACGAAGTCCAGCGCTTGACGACAAGGCAACGAACATATTTTTAGATATTACTTTCGTGCGGATATTTATCCTTGTCTTTGATTTTAACTTGCATGTTCGTTTGTCTTATAACAAGAAATAGCAATCGTCTCCGAACGCGAGCATATATTATTTGTTAAACTTAAAATGCTGGAAATGTAAGAAAATTCAGTTGTGGTGAGACAAGGGTAACCGTCGCGCGTCGTCTCGGGAAGGGGGGGGGGGGGGAAGGGAAGTTAGGTGCGAATCGTCGCGCGTCAATCTCTACATCACGCCACCCCACCGGCTATTGGAAGGTCAGTTCGTTGCGTCTAGTTCTCTAATTCGCGGAATGTCGCGAGGTCAAGCGGAATCCGTTGCTTCGTTCGAATCTTTCGTGATGATCTGTGTTATTACGAAGTGATTAATTTTCGAGAGTGCAGAGTGTCGCGCGATTGTCGTGATTCGTAAATCATCCGTGCGTTATTATAATCTTATTAGTGCGAGTGTGCGTGAACGTAATGAAAAAGCATCATGGAGAGACAAAAGGACTGCCGATGAGTAAGCGAGTCTCAGCTTCGTTGAATCGTTTTTTCACGCGGTATTATTTCGTTATGTTAAAAGTGCGCATCGAGATTAATTTTGGGAATGCCGTATAAAATAAGTATCGCGCGATTGTTGTATTCTGATTATCAGTGCGCGATCGTGTTTTCGCTAGTGCTCTAGTGCATTAAGGAAGCCATTAAGGAGACATCGGAAAGGTAATGGAGGCCTGGGAGGCATCAGGCAACGGCGGAGCAACTATAGGTAATTTATTATTTATTTCTTTATTTGTCACTTGCGGAATATTGATCACTTATCCTCGCGACAATTGTATTTCACATTTTTTGTTGTGGAGCACATATAAAATATTATAAATTATTTTGAGA